GTGTAGGTTTTTCCACTTATAGATGACCCTTACGGTCTATGCATCAGCTAAATCTGGTTGGCAGCAATCATCAGTCGCGTATCACATAAAAATCGTCGATATTCTAATCACAATGCCCATAGCCTGAATGAGGTTACTTCATACTCATTCGTGCAGTTGTGATCGGACGTGCAGGGTTGTGAATCACTGGTTCACGGATGTTCTATGATACACAACAGCTTAGTATTTGTCTCTATTATGCACCGGGTCGTTTAATCACCACTATTCCGGTATTAAACTTTTGAAGGAAATTTAGAATCATCATTCTCTTTCAAGTGCAATATTTTTAGGACAGATTATGGAAATTAGAATCGATCTGTCTCCGACACATATCGGTCTACCTCATCTCAATTACTGTAACTAATGTATGAAGAGTATCTGCTTTTCATGTAGCTTGCTGTGATCCATGACCTGCTTAGTGTCAGTTTATGAATAACGGGTGCCATAGGTTTACCGCACGTGTCCAGTAGTATAAGTGGTCAGGAATGACCCCTTGAATAATATCACTGTAAGAAGGTCAATCGTTCCGTAAACTTACGTGCAGGAACGCTGCCTCCTGGCCACAACAAGAGACGTATAATGCGGTTGTTCAATCGTTTCTTGCTCAGGTTGTTCATGTTGTCTATTGCCGCTACCAATAATGGCATAACTATCTCAACAACAACAACAACAAAAACAACAACAACAACAACAGTAATCTCCGTGACACTTTCGGCAAGTGTTACATTTTGATACGCCAAACTGAAGTTTCTGGGTGTAGGATTGGAACCAATTGTGAAACCTCATGTTCTTTTCATGTAACTGTTTCGTTTGCTAAACATTTGGTGATATTCGTTTCTTCCCGTGACAGAGTAATGATTTTGTGGGCGGAATTTCTATATAAGAGTTTGTTTATCATAAGATGAAAACTAATGAAATACACTTTTTAATTCCTGAATTCATTTTATATTTTTATATCAAAACTTGTCTACAAATTTGTGATTTTTGAAAGTATTTCATCTATTTCTGACTACAAGTATTTTATAATCTGCTTCGCTACATGGGCTTTTCCCTTGTAGGATGTTACACAGCAATACCATATCCCGAATAGGTACTAGAAAACGAGCCCCGGAGATTCCTGTGATCGGCCTTACTGCAAATGTGAATGGAGATAATAAGTCCGTCAGCACTGATGAGATCGCGCCCCCGTCAGAAAGCAGCACAAACGACCCTAATACACATGTGGACCTGAATTCTTCTGTATCGGATAAAACAAATGCCAAAATTACTCCAGAACTCTCCACTTTGGTGTTGCATGATCCAGTATTCACGGATAGACCTCTTCAACTGATGTCGGAAAACGACACTTCGATTGGATCTTCAGTCAGTACGCTTTGGAACAATAACAACCGAAACACCCCGTGTCACAGCCCTGGGTTCCGAACGAAGAAAATTCCTATCAGAATAAATGTTCCTGTTAGTTGTCGTCGTCTGGTCGAACTCTATTCTCGTTTGGAACAACTCAATCCATATCTGGGGCCATTGAAACCGGGTTACAATGAGTGGATCCAACAATTCGCCCTGTATCGCTATGAGACCTTCTGGCTTCCGCTTGCTGCTGAGCACAAGCTGTGTGCAGGAGCTCCACTGGATGTACAGGCAATTTGGATATCTCACATGATGGACCCACTGATTTACAGACAGGATTGTCAAAGGTAAGTGTCAGTCTTTCCGATGACATCATAATAACCATGCTTGTGAGATATTCCGAACAGGTACACTGTGTATCTTTCTATAGGTTCATGCTCAAACAAATACAGAAACGGGTTGTTATTCTAACTTATTTTGTCTTTGTTCTCAAACCATTATTTCATACAACAGTAAAAACCATTACAGCTTGCTATACCTCGCATGATGAATAGTGGGGTAAGTGAAGCTTCTGGTCATGAGGTGCTAACACTGTTCATTTGTGCGAGTTGGAGTGACGAATCTCATGAGGCCCCAGCTTGTATTCTGTGATAGTGAACCAGACAGAACTGAAACATTTTGGTATCCAATTAGATTGACGCTGACGTTGATAGCGGTTGAAACAGTTCGATAGTATGCTTCATGCACCCGAAAAGGTGAATAAAGCCAAATTTATGTTATTGAAACATAATTAAAGTGTTCAGCGACAACCACTTAGTACAGTAACTTTCCCAGTCAGTTTGGTGTTCAAACCAGAACAATAACTGCTGATAAAAGCGTAAAAGAGTGACGTAACAAAGATCAAAATATTCTATTCATTTTACTTAACCAGTGTAGGTTGCTAAGGAAGGAGGAATTATGGATACGTGAACATGGTTAGATAGACTTTTATTCGTTTCCCTGACAAGCTGAACAATAATTATACGTGATGCACTTACTGCAATCACTTATACATTTGTCAGTTTCAGTCAACAAATATAAAATGCTCAAATACAATTCGTTTGAAGTAAACAATCCCTATTTCAATTATAGATTGAAAAAACGACAGTAAAAGATTATTCGTTACCTAAACTTATTTCACATCGTAAATTGATTGCCAAATACTTCCCTGTTCTAACAGTTAGTTGATTTATCTAAAAAACCGGGCAATTTTACTGAAGAAAGTCTATATTTGTTATTCGTTAAACCAATCTTTTCTGAAAACAATATTTTCAAACCATTAATGAAAAATGGCGTATCGGAACGAAATAGAATATCGCCAAACTGCCATGAATCACGAATTGTAAGAGCAAAATCTGGTACACTCATGACCAAAATGCGTTTAGCCATTGTTTGCAAATTCTTCTTCCTGTCTGGTGTTTATCGAGCAACAAAACCTCTTGCCAAGTAGCCGGAGGTGGAGCTGATTTGTTTTACATGGATTAAATCAACCAAATCCGGGGAAATTAGGTGATGATATGGATTTGTCCTTTTGCATTTAATGAGAAGAATGCGGTTTGCAAAGTGATTTTTCGCAAATTGAAACCAAACCTAACCTACTGATGGGAGTAGGGATGCCGTAAGTGCCTTAAGCTCCTTCTATAATAAAACGAAGCTGAAGCCCCAGCTAAAAATCTGTGAAGGATTTATCTTGAATGGCAGGTCATTTAGGGTAGTTTTGTTCAACAGAGGCCCCTATGATTAGCAGTTGCAAGATCTGAAACTCTCAGGATTCAAGACGATTATTCCATGCATGTTATTTGAGAATTTACTGGCTAATAGGATCAAAAAATGTATCAGGGATAACAATTAAAATTAAATCGATAGGTAAACAGACGTTTAGAAGCCAAAGTAAATTTGAAACTTTGATCATGATTTGAATTATGGTTGTATTTGGTGTTATTCTGCTAAACGTCCGTTGAACTAATTGAAAGGATCAGAATTTATGTCAGACGTTTTGCCACCGAATTTTTCAAACCAACTGGGTTCATCTTATTCTCGGTTACCTCATTTGTGACAAAAGTAGGGACTTGCTATGAAATAATTCGAACAAATTTCGTCAAATAAGAAATGTCGCAAGACGGAAGTAGGAACAACGTTTTGGTGATACATAAACAGCAGTGATACTGAAGAATAATCTCCCCATTATTGTGAATGGTGTATAGTTATCATATCTGTATTATGGACCAAAGACAAAGCATGTGAGCTTCACCAATTATCCACCTGTCAGGCTCTACAGGGAGTAAAAAAGAACTACGTTTCTGACAAACCAAGACGATGACGATGTTGCCTCCAAACACTAAATTAGCTCCTCAAAACAATGCAACTTGAACTCAGTTGAATACGAAATGTCACAACTAAAACTGCGTCTATTCCTGGATAATGTATTTCTCTTTGTTACCTAGGGTACTAAGTATGATCTCTATGTATCGCTCAACCTGTGCCAGAAATTTCCAAACAAAAGGTTCAAAATATTCAGATTCCGTTGCACAATCATTAAAGAAGGGGCGGAATGAAATTCAACTGTTGTTCAACTGTTTTCCTACGTGCTGAAAATTTGGTCAGTCGAAGTCGAGACATTGTGATTGATATTAAACGTTGTTCGGATTGCCGTTACAATACAGTTCGTTAGAAATGTTTGTATATTCTGTACATCATGATTCATTTAGTTCACAGCCATAGCGTCGAGGAATACTTTTTTCCATCCGTTACTTCGATCAGCGCTGATAATTTTTTTTATCTAGTTTTATTATTTATGCGATTGCTTATCTCGGACAGTGTTTTTAGCGTTATTCAACTCTCTGTGTGAAATCCCTTCTCTGCATAAATACACCCTTAATCAAACATGTATAACTCAACACCTAATGTCGAAAACAACCTTTATGAGAACCAAAAACGACGCTCGATATTTGATTGTTTGCATGCCTTGCACAAAAGAGACTAATCATGAATAATTTTTTACCACACCCATTTTTTTCATTTGTTTTTTATGAATGGTATCAGTTTGAAAAACACTGGAGTTGCATTCGTTTTCCCGCTGAATTCAGTAAATCGAGATAGCGTCATCACCAAAACCCTTAACAATGTTAATTTATATAATCAAAACTAAAAATCTTTTGAATAATTAATTGAAGGTGTTACCGTGTTATCATTAAATTGAAGGGGGACGATTTGAACATTTTTTAATCAAAATATTTCAAAGATTTGCACGTTTTACTTGGGAAAAAATTCTCACCATAGTTTTGCATACTGACCGTTGAAACACTGAACAACTGCTTCCGCCTGACAGAATCCTCAGAACTTCTGTTTGTCTTTGAGGATTTGGCGAAACAAGCTGAAAACGCTCACAGGGTGAAATGCTGACCTTACACTTGAGACACTACTACTTTCTACTTTCAACGCGTCGAATCGATTTTAGAGTGTCACTGTTGAAACGAAAGCTTACTTTTAAGTGAAATCATGCATACCTGATGCACTTCTATGAGTATGATTGAATAAGTGCGACACCGGCAGCTACTACATGCGCTTATTCATCCGTATTCTTATACGATTATAGATGAAGGTCATGTATCGAACACATTTTGCATTCAGATCTACTACACACTTGGTTGACGTCTTTTCGACAAATTGTTGCCAAATGTACACACGAGGGTTGCACCAAAAGTGCAAGATGATTCGTTCGAGACCAGGCAAAAGACTGGATCATTGAAATCAATCGGAGATAACACTTATATGTAGTGCCGAATACACATAACTAATGATGAAAGAATCATCTAACCTCGCTCACTTGAAGTGAACTGCTTTTTAATGTTTGTTGAACCGAACAGCTTGTTCATTCTTGTTATAACACCTCAGAAATCCATTCCATATTACTGTCGGTTAAAAAATTTGAAATTCGAATGCTGGTTCAAAACCCTCACTCTTGAAATAAACGGTCGATGCTGATCAATTTGAATGAACGGTTTTCTTCGGCGGCCTACGAGAATCCGTAGACAGAAAGGGCAGTGTGTTGTGTTCAAATTGACGAGGAATTAACAGGTATCCAGCGATCCACATTCACGAAGAAAATGTCCCCAAACTCGCGGATCCACAGACACCTCTCAATGAGCCCACGCCCCCCCCCGCCCCTGTCTGTGAATCTGCATAGACAATATATTGAGCATGACACACTAAGAGTTGTTCACTATGAATTCGTAAACAGGTTTCCAGACTGCGAATTGTATGAATATCGAAGGCCGAAATGTGAGACGCAGCTGCGTTAAAAAACGGAACACTATTCACCTTATTTGTGACCGGACGTTGCGAATCTGTCGTCTTAACAACTGGGAAGCAGAGACCGATGAACTAATGGAAGCGGAAACGGTTTTATACAGACTATGATTGATTTATTTTTACCAATAGTTGTTGAATAGGTTAATAGCAAACACGGATATCTTTTTGAAGGATCTTTGATGAATCCATGGGTATTTATAAGTGGGAAATAAGTAAATTATTTTAACGTTGATTGTTTTTTCATACTTCATGTTCAGCTATCAATTTGTACACATCCCACTTGTGAATATATTATAACCATATTCATATTTCCTCCCTCATTCATACGGAAATTTCCACTGTTTTCAAAATTACTAAAAATAAATTTACGTTTAGAAACCACACAGCAATACTAATTGTGACTTATAAAATTATTTGGCAACAGTTTGACCTGCCTTAGTATGTCTGCCTTGTGATGGAGCATCGTTAGAACAGTGCTGTCGCGCTGTCGAAAATAACCATTGTGCTTCCCGGCCCAATTGTCATTTTGTCTCGCTCACATTTCTCATTCTCGAACCTTGCGTTAGAGTGGCCGGAAGAGTAGTCGAACATCGGCTAGTTTCACGTCGCAAACTGCGTCAGCTGACCGATAAAGCTCGCGGTCTATGGCAAAGGCACTACCCCAAAGAACCTTTCGACTTCGATCCAAACCGAACCGGATATGCTGAGCTCCTCGAGGCGCAAAACCCCAAATACGGACGACCAGGTCGCGTTTCCGGTGAGGTGTTAAACATCGCTCGGTGTCAGTCGCATTTTTCCTATCAGGTAAGCTTTAAGCCCTGGTTTTTTCGAACATGGGGTGGAGTACGTGTTCAAATGTACCGAAGGTTTTCTGTCCCTGTGTCAATTCGTTTTCAACACTCGCTACGGATCAGCATATACACCACCTCAAGAAGTCAACATCATCATTCTTCAGCTTACGTGATTGGGAAGGAAGTTGTCAAGAAAGCAGTGAATCGAGTTTGCTTTTTAAAAAAGTATTCAACTGCAAAACGTTTTATATACTAAAAATTAAAGTGTTTAATCAGAAATTGGTGTGCTGCATTGATGGACTTAAACCAATGGACTTACACCATATAATAACAACCTCTAGAATTACTTCATGATAAAAAAATCGTATCCAAAAGCCTAAATTACCGCATATGTTGATGGTGCTTTCCAAGAATGCAAGTTAAGGCGTCAATGTAAAAGTCTTTTATTAAAATGAACGAACCAATTGAGTTGTTTGCCAGATGCTTGAAAAATATTTATCAGCGGCTAGGTCATATGCAAGTTATCTATACATGGGCTTCAGTGCCACGAAGGTTGCTCAAACACAGAACAACAAACATTACTCAAACATCGACCAGAATCCATATTACCGTAATAAGAAAAGATAAAACGACCATTAGAACCCACGATGAGTTTCGTTTACCAGTTTTGTGCCTAGATCAGTTCAGTTTATTGAGGCGAAGAGAGATAAGTATCATTTATTAGTTAATCACTTAATTATTAATTAGTTAAGCTAAAAGTGTTTTGAAACTTTCGTGGACAACCAAAACTTATCATAAATTTGTATATCTGTTGACAAAACTTCAAAACAAAAATTAGGTGTGATCGTTCGAGATTCATTTGTTTGGTATGTATTAAAAAATATTGGATTTAAGTTTTGTGGTTTACCACTGCATGTAGACTAAAGAACTCTTCAGTGGGCTGAGACACATCTAAGGATCATCAACATTTATTGTATGAATCAAACCGTTACTATGATGCTTGATGTAAGCTGAGAGATAAATCCGTTAATTTGAGCAGTATACATGATTTAAAATAATTTGTTTGCTGTCTACGTGATATAAATAATAACTTAAATAGTAACTTTCACTATTGCTAACTTCAGACTTACCCCAAACCGCTGACGTTCATCTACCGCATGATGAAAAATTATTTAAATATTGACAATTTTGAAAAAAACCTAAATCTGAACTTACTTCAAGAAAACAAATTCAGTGTTCTTTTGTTTGATTTGCCACGATCTTTCCAGTAGCGAAGGTATTAGTAGCTGAAGCTTTACCCATGTTTGCACACGTCAGGCGGATCTCACCATCTCCATTAAATGACTATTTGCGACTCATCGGTTAATAAAACTAACTGTTCACTCAAAAGGGAAATTTTACCAGTTCATCGCAGGTCTCCAACAGTAAACTCATTCTAAAGGCCATCTAGCTACACCTAGAACACAAACAGAAATTGCGTTTGCCTTATATGATTGTCTGTTAAACCACAAAAGACAACTGATGTCTTTCGAGATTTTCGCGGTGCTTGCAAACATGGTTGCTTGAAATTGGTCGGAGAATGACCGGCCGGAGGCAGATCGTTTACATGTTGCAATTCATGGCAAAGGCTTATTATCATTGTACAGTTATTTTTCCTTGCTTGTCATAGTTCTTAGTATCCTATCCACTAAATTCCTCAGTTTCCGGATACAAGTTCTGGTTTATTTAAAGAAGAAAGCAGCCAAGATTTCATGGTTTATATGTAGTGTTGTGATATGCGTTTACGATACTATATAGCAAAGTTGTTTCCTAATATTTCAAAAGTTCCAAATAAGCTAACCATTTCAATTTATATTAGACTATATGCGGGAGAATTCCGCCCGCAAGTTTCGTGAAGTGTCGGCCTGTTTAGTGATGTTAGACAAAACAAATCCATTGCGACAATTAGAAATCGAGATATTCTCATCGAGGAAACACAATATACGCTACGATTCTTGAATTGAGTTAACAGGAATCATACGTGTGAGCATCTCAACCTGAATACTCTACTTTTAGATGCGGCTCAAACGCTGCAACATTCCCATCAAGCAAAAACCGTGTTGTGAAATGATCTGTCGGAATAAGCTGAAAAAAGAGTCAATAGTATAGAATGGAATAGCAATGAAAATCAGGATTCATCATTTAATGGTTAGCAGTCTGAGCCATAAGCATTGAAACTGTCACTCCGACCGGCAAGCTGGTGGAATTGGAGGGCTGTAATGTGATTGGCAGTCAATATTGGACCCCATACATCCATAGGGTGCATTTTAGGAGTGTCCAGGAGATATGGAAATGATAAACGCATGCGAACCGAGGTTAGTAGCAAAAGATGATTAAATGAGTGATACAAACACAATTTAATAATGCCACATATGATTGCTTAGGTACACAATCAACGTTGTTTGAATTTATAGGAAGTACACTATCTCGGTACGAGATAGTAGGTGCATGCATGTGAAATATTGAATAACAGCAACATGCAGACAAATTCGTTCCCTGACTGGTAAATTGCTCTCATACATCCATAGACTTCAAAACATTGAAATTCACAAAGAGAATTCTGAAAAACGACTGCAAAGCACAATAAGTTGAATGGGTTAAAAATTTGAAATAGAAATACAAAATAACAGTGCAGCATTTGTGACAGAATGCAATATTTCAAAAATTAAAGGATTATGTCTACTTAAACATCAAATTGTTTGTCTGAATGCATCAAACTATAGTCTTAAAATACCAATGTGAACGTCTGTTTGTGTGTACAGATCAGGGAAGATGCAACAATCTAACCCTGAGGCACTACACGAATACAGCTTTGAAAAAGATGAAGATTAATAAACACATGGTTGGTAAGATCAATAAACAGAGCCATGTAATGGGAGCATGTTCGTAAAAATAATAAAGTTTGTAAACTCAGATTACCATGTTTGGATCATCTCAGTCGATTGTTTTCAGGCACTCGGTTACCGTTAATCGTCCAGGGTGTTGGTTGGTTTCACTGCCTGGTACGTCGTTGATCACCCACTATTTCAATGTATTTAAACGTAAGTCCGTACAAGATTACAAAAGCTACGCCCTTCTGACAGTCTCAAACTGGATGAAACAGCTATCCCGTCGGTCATCACAAAGATTTTCATCACGTATGGTGATTTGAGCACGCTCATACGACAGTATGGCATTTTAGTTGTAAATAGTTAATGCAGAAACGCGCCCTTACGCGATGCCATCAAAAATGCCAGTGAAGAACGTTAAAACCACTGCATATTTAACAATGTTTTACAAACACATTTATTATGAGGGAACTAGTTGTTGGTTGTCTTCCATTATTTTTCTTTTAGTGTTTGCTATGTCTACCGCATCTTTAGTAAATAATTGGACTGTATTATTGTCATTTAGTGCAATAATTTAAATAATATTTTCAGTTCAAGCATAATCCTCACTGAAAAATGTTCCTTGCATGGAGATTTTACTTCACTTAGCGAGGCAAACATACCATTTAAATAATGAAATCTGAAGCGGTGAATCCAAGCGAAGCGTGAACCCAATTCCGATTCCGACAAATGCATACCTGCCCATAATATCAGCGCACCTGCGCCACTGAAGACTCAACCTCACGTCCCGCATGTCCACAAGCACGGTAATCAGGGATTTCCTGCACATGTGTGTCATGACGATCCTGAATTGGATGACAGTATGCACTAATTGCTGAGAAAGTTTAAATAGTTGCACGCTTCATTTCAAGCCTTTTCATAATACGGGATGTTTGTGGAGAATCCTCACAAATATAAAAAGCAGCACGGTTTTCGTACTACTTCTGGTAGGATGTCCTATAATAATTGTTACTCTCGTACGAATAAATTTTGATGCTTATTCAGACCACTTGACATATTTAACCAAAATCAACCTGCTGATATTTTTGCAATGAATACCAAATCTTAACTTAGTTTATTTTTAGATATCATCCGCCTGTCAGCGCTTTCAAAATGTCACGAATATTTTGTGAGCTTAATTTCTGCTCACTAAACATATCCCCCAAACTGTTGGTTGGCAGTACCTTTAGGGGAAATAGAAACCGGTAAAAACATCACAACAAAAACGGATTAAATGCATAGATCTTACTGGTTTGTTCTACTGAATCCAACTGCTACATATAAAAAGAATTTCTATAATCAGCCTGAGCACAGAAGGTGAATGCTGTCTAGTCACTCTAGTTTTCCACTTGTATTCCATTCCTGATTGCTACTGTACACATAGTCCGTCCATCTTTGGGAACCAGTTTAAGTGGTATACTGTTCCATTCAATGTGTTCTATATTTTTGACCTGCAATTCTTTTTACGTGATTGTATAATTTTGCTCCAAGTAGAGGAGCTTTCGCGAAAATGAACAACACGTGTCGTCTAATCCCGATGAAATGTGAACAACCCCAAATGGAATCCGAACTGAACAATATAGGTCACGGTGGGGACATGGATATGTTCAATCCAAAGTATCAGACTTTCCAACGGTAAACAAGCTTCCCATTTGCTGGCACAAAGTTTGCCCAAAAAGTTCGAGCGGAGTTTATCATTAATGATGATAGAGAGGATAAATCGGAAAGACCAAACTTAACCGGATTTTTTCGACCAAGAATATATTTTCAAACTATCACTCGTTGAAATTTGTGGGTTGAAAAAGATGATAACAACATCAGCAATGAATTTTATCCTGATGTAAAGTTCAAATTTTTAATGCAATTTCATCAGCAAATATCAACAATAATCACAATTGAACATTCACTTAAAACACCACTTCTGTCAAAGTAGTGAATGCACGAAATTTTAACGGCAAAAGCTAATGAATATTTTAGGAATCTTTTTGGTTAGGTTAAAAAATCTTGAAAGGGAAATTCTGTAAGCCGTGTAAATGTGAATGCGGAATATGGACGACACAATTATTTGTCATCAAGGTTCGGTAATCTTGAACAAAGTAAACTATACGTACATATCAAAAAAGATACCTAGGCTAAATACAATCTTACAACATCATATACACGATACAAAATTCTGAAAATGCAAGAGTTGAATGGTGTTGTTAGTGAAACTAAAACATTACGATATTCGCAATACGATGATCATTGCACTTTGGGACGCAAGCGGTTTTGGGTCACTAAATTTAACAAAGAACTGTGTTTTCTACCCATTTAGCCGTAAAATAATGTCGGTTACAACTGCCAAGAATACTGTTCGGTTGTGTTTAATCCAATGATATCACAACCTGATCGCCCCAGGGAGTCTTGTGTTCAAACTTTCCCATCACCGCCGACCAAACGTTCTCCAATTTCTGTGTATCGTAGTGGAGCGCTCGGATTGATTGTGCCTTGAGTGGAACTTGAAGTATTAATCTTTAGAATGGGTATTTCTTTCTTCAGTAGTTTGCTCAAGTGAAAGTCAGCTACACCAGCTGTGTTCTAATCTGTTGTTTGCTGCGTCTTTCCGTTTGTTGACCTTTCGACAATCAGCAAAAAGTTGATATCCTCGTGTAAACAAAATATAAAGTTTCCACAGCTATCACAAACATAGTAAACTGAGACAAGCCGCCAAAGATAATTAGACAGATCGTCAGTCAAATGTTCGAGGTTACGAATTCTGAAATGATTCGTTCAATAACCCCCAATGAGGTTTTGTTAGTTTTGGCCTTTTTGTCTGTTTTCTACCAAATTTGTTCATCAATGTTGTGCGATTTATTATGGATCAAGTAGTGTTTTATTTTAGAAGCAAAAGCGAGTTTCATCAAAACATTTTACTGCTATGGCTTGCAGGTAAAATGATGAGTTACGTTTAAAAATACTCCGTTTATTTTTTCTACTGTTTGACTTATGATATACAGAAAATCGTAGAATGGTATTCGCTGAACTGAAACGGTGATTATTGTGATACACTTCTGATTTTTAACCAAGTTTTTGGAATACCGAACCTCTTTCTGAAATCAGTTGTCAACACACTTTTTTCTCGCAGGTTTTTCTACCACATTACGTCCAGGTGGATTTTCTGGAATCTGCTGAACGCAGATACAAACAATTTCTTTTTGTTCGCAGACTGCAATGTCAAATCGCACACTACTTACAGCCGCAGGTTAGTGACGTTCGAGTAGATGGTCAATGGGTGCGGGCACCAGACGAGGAACCCACACCGATCTCCAATCCCGGAACCGAATCTCGACATGGTCTCTATGTACCGATCGATATTGAACTAGTTTGGCGAGCACATTTAGTTCATCCCAAGTTCTATGCACGTGATACAAGTTGTCTGTACGGAAAAATGCTTCCACACCCCTGTCGACCGTTTGATGACACAATGCTCACCTACCTCAGTGATGTGCACTTTCCATTGACAACTTTAACTCAAGGCTTATACACCACACCAAAAGCAACCAATAATCCGACTGTCGGTTTTACTGACCTGTGGAAAGCACATTTTCCAGAAAGTGAGCTTTATCGAGCGGGATCTTGTGACCGTGGAGTTCCTCCGCGAGAACACCTGAGCGAATTGAACCATACGGAGATTTACCGCATGGCCACAAAATTCACGAATATTTCGGTACGTTTTCCAGGAAGAGTTTTTCAATGACTTTGAAGTGATATAGTTTTGAACCCCCGCTTGTGTTTGTTATGATGGATGATTATAGCCACGGTATTTTGCACAGTTATGATAAATTGGGTTATTATTAGGAGAACATCTCCCGAATCCTAATATGAACAATTTTGAGGTATTTCTACCGGGATAATTATCTCACGGACCAGATCAATTTCCCAAAGATGTAGACAAAACTGAAGCTGCAAATGTCTAACTAACTTACAAGCATCCAAAGGAATCTTTTCTAACACGTCGACTGAACCGAAATGCAGAACATTTTCTTGGTCCTAGCATGAATGAATATCTACAAATGATATACTGAAAGAAGCTGAAAAATAAACCAAAGGGCAGTACTTTTATCTCGTTTTCTGTCCAGTGACTTTTCTTCACATTATCAGGAAGTGAACTTTCGACATGTGCGTAAACTGCCCAATCGAAAATAATAACTTGCCTCCAAAATCAACTGCACGTGATTTCCTTGATTCATCATAATGTATGACGAAATAAAATGGTTCTTCTTGCAGGAGGGTAGTTTATCACTTAAAGAAAATTTGTCTGTTGGGAATTCGAAATTAGTTGCCACATTTCATCATGGATAATGTTAAGCATTTCTTTGGACGGAGTGGTACAAATGATCTCGTCAAAAACCTATTATATAGTTTATGGTATTTTCTGCATAAGATCACGGTTAAAACTTCTGTACAATTTGGATAGTATTAACGTACATATTCTCTAATAATGAACATGATATTCACCAGAGCAGCTTCTTTCTGTTATACTGTTGATTCCAAGAAACAGAAGAGATACTGCATTTCCTCCGGTAATTCGGTGTTTCGTAGATTAGGAAGCATTTAAATGAATGCAGATATTCATTGCAAAACAGTTTAAACGTTTGGATTTATTACACGAATAGACTCTCTAATTTTGCTGGCTATCTAAGAACTTGCTTCATTCCAATTGCTGAATGCTATCTAATACTAACTTTTTTAATCTTAGGTGGATTACACAACAACAACTTCACAAATATCTCTGTTATTTCACTAATTTTATCAATTCCCTTACAACTGATCCTTAGTATCTGTTTTGCATTATTATACGATTCTATCATTATGATTAACAAATAATTTTCAGTCACTTTGGTCGAACATGGATGGCGTCACAGCAATAGGTCTTTTTTCGCGCCCCAAACATTTTTCATAGATATTAAGCAATTTCGCGATAAACTGACTCAAGTGTTTCTCATTTTTATATCGATAAGTTAAATCTGAAAGAGGTCGATCAAACTCCCTAATTAGTTTATGAATAGAGCCAGTACCAGACATCAGTTACTATGCCTGAATGATCATTTGTTCCTAAACGGCGAACGTCCACTTCAAATATCGACAGATATGACAGAAGAAATATGCATACACACTACTTAGCCATAAAAACACTTCACGTTATAATGGCAGTCAAGTAAAAGAGCGTAGTGGACACCACGGACTAATCGCCTACAACATGAATCTTATGTGAATCGTAACATTTATGTTTACAATCAGCGGTTTGCTAATACTTGACTACTGAATACAGCGAAAAATGTCAAGTGATTAGATGTTAATGTGCAGCTGCGGAAGAATAACCATGCTTTCTGTGTTATTTCTACACATTTCGAACTAAAGCCTACTGATATTTCAAGTCTCTATCTGTTTAGTTGAATCACAAGGCAGCGAGCACACTGTCAACCGTTCATTCCCTTCGCTGCTACCCAATTGACATTAGCCACTCGAATGATAAAATATTTCGATTAAACAAACAAACCCGTTTTCCCCTGGGGTTGAATAGACTGAGAACTTGTTCCTTTCCCTGAAACAAGAAACCAATGGAGGGAAGAATTTCCAACATTCGAAAGTCATTGCGTCGTGGATAAAAATGGAATGTAAAAAACTGCTCGTTTGACTCACATGCTTTGCGCTTCTGTATTGTATACCAGCTCCCGGCTGTCTTTTTGTGTAACCAGGCAGATCTTTCTACATTCTGATTTTCTTAGTATTTATTTATTTGTACTTATTGCACAATATTCATTGTAGGTTTACTACTAAATTTGTCTGCACAGACAGTGTGTTGTTGCCTACAATTTAAAGCATTTCAAAACACAAGGAAGCTCATCGTGAAATGGCAAAATGATGTCTGATTGATTGCCTATGCAAGTTGCCATTGTGTTGGGAATATAAATCAATGGGTGAAGATCAATTGGAAGTTCGTGCTGTGGCAGTGGTGCTGGACTCAATCCTATCTATATGTTGAATTTCGTCTCATGCTTTAGGTTGAACGACCACCAATAGTTTTCACAGGCCGTCTTTTTATCTGAACTAATATGAGGTACCTATTATATTCAACCCTGCTAGATCAATGGACTATGATGATTGCTTAGGACCACGGAAACGTCAACAAGAGCATTTTCAGCTTTCCACATATTGGAACAATGAAAAAATACACAAAATCCTGGGCATTGCGTTTGTGAATTAAGGTGAATAATGAGATTATGGAAATTACCTAGATCTTGGTAGATTTTGCTACTTCTAACAATGGGATCAACTGTTTTTGTTTTTGATCAGACTCTGTTGAGAATTATGAATCTTCTTCGCAGATAATCATGATTTTCCGCATTTTGCAATAGAGTATCGTGGGTTCGATCACTTTTCCTTATCAGTTCTACTGGTGTGATGTACTACTCACATTTGTGAGTAGTATGTAAAATAATGCTATCTGTGGTGTCTTTTGTACGGTCAAAAACGAACAATAACTCTTAAAGCAAAATGCTTTGTTAAAAATGATAACTATTGCCCATTCCATTCACTATCCTTTGCGATGCCGGGAATTGTGATTACATGTTCCAAATGAGATATCTTGTTATATATACTTCAAAATATCCGTCCCCCAAATCGGTTCGTAATAAACAATCTTCCTTGACGCAGGACCGGTCTTTTGGAGTTATAACCCTACTATTATACGATATTTCTAAGCGAAAACTGAACAAGATGAAGCCAGAAATATTGAAATAACGATCGACCATTTCACTGTCCTCTATATTCGTACAGCGTATTTATACTGCTTGCAGAATGACGTTATATTACAGCCAATGCGTTTATATAGGGTGTTTGAGACGGCGTCCATTTCCTATGGGTTTGAGACGATTGTTGGCGGATTTGGACGGCATAATTCAATTTCAATAAAAGCCGTGAGCAACATGAGGACAGAGCTTCGAAGACAAATATTGTTTTCATTGTATCATAATGCACCCGTACATCTTATATCAGATTTTGGGAAGCGCGAATCTCAGTTATTCAGTTCATATAGGCCACCAAGTAGAATCAAAATTTGTTTGTAGACCAATCTATCGAGTAAAACACCCAATTCACCAAACCCTTTTAGTGCGTTACGTCCTCACCCACTGTTCACTGTTGAAGCACGGGTCTGTTCAAATCGTAATTATTCACACAAAAGCGGTTTGTCCCAACTCCTCGGTTACTCTGACCCCGAACTGATCATCAGCAGCAGCAGCAACTCTAATCCATTCCACCTAAATATGATAAAAGCAGAGGCTTGGATATTTGATACGGGGCTGTGGCAGATCAATTCTTTCTGTCATAGGCCACGTTCGGGCTGAAAGAGAAACCTGTCCTGGCCAACACCTTGCTCTGTGTAGTCTGCAATAGCAGAATTATTAGTCATTGAAACCACTTGTTCTGATACTGCACTAGAAACGTTCAATCTCACAATCTTTTTTGGTTCAGACTGGTAGGGATCGAAGTTGGTACGAAAAAGATTCACCATTTAATTAATGTGGTTTACACATAAGGCCGAAAAGTGTTAGAAGCATTTCATATCTGATTTTCACCTAGCTTGGAATCCTCTGCAGTTTATGCCTACCAAGAGTGTAACAGCTTGAGTCTAAATTTATTGCTCGATGAGCTTATCACAACAATTTTAAGCAGACTTCAGTGATTGGTTTCCGTTAGACATCACATAGTATGGTGCTCATGCGTCCCTGTCAACCGAGACTGACTACTGTCGAAGTGATGTTGCATACAAAATCGAATTCTAACCATTTTATCTTCTGCTTCTCAAACAAACCATATCTTTTACTGATTTTTGACAGTGTCCATTTCGGAAATTCATCCCTTTAAGGCATCAAAAAGTTAATTAATAAAGCAAGAAGGAAGTATCGTGATATGTGATGGGTTATTGCAATAAAAGACTAACCGCAGAGGTAAAGACAGAAATAATGAGGTGGGCACCACTGAAAATCTCCATTGCATGTTGCATCCATGAAGTAGAGAAAATGACTAACAATATGGTATTCGGAGCCAGCTGATGAATCTCTGCGGAATTTATGATCCTACAGAGTTGCAGAAGTAGGCTAGTCTTAAAACGCCTTCTGCCCTTCATCCGCTTTGGTTTGTTGCTTTTCTTTTACTACCAACGAGACTAATAGAACTCTGATAAACAATCAAATACGGGCAATAAAAATGTTTTGGTAATAACTCTGAAGAATGTATCAATATCAAGAAATTATCTGTTTTTTAGATACTTCTGTTTTTAGATTATTCATAAAATGATTGATAGGTAGCACCTTATGTCGTATTATTAGTAACAGAGAACTTAGAAAACGATAGTCAAATAACTTTTCGTCACCCAATAGGTTGTTGTAAAACTTAAGATTAAGATTTTGTCCATAGTGAATTTTTACGTGGAACTGAGTGAAGAACCGCATCGTAGAACTCTCAAATGGTCATGCAGGACAGAGCGACACTGCAACTTGTCTTGGGATACGTGAATGAAAGCGGTACTTACGAATGAATTAAAAATGCTCGGGTTGTGGTCCTTTGCGGCTTTTATTTGTTTCATATCGACGATCCTGAAACACAGTACAGAGGGGGAAATGCATTATTTTACACCCAAATTTATATTCGACTAGTATAAGTGTAATTTATAATGAGTTTGTTTTCTCCGGTGTTCTGCTAGGTCCGCTGGTGTTCACAAATTCCTACGGCTAGGTTTCTGCTCCTGCGGCCGCTGCGTTTTTCCAAAATTCAGATACGCATAAAAAACTAAGGGATGACTACACTTATCATGGAGTTTACAATAGCAGTGTGATCTAGAGACGTTTAAGCCGAACCTAATTCTGTAGCCTGGAGTGTTTCCTATTGCTTTACCTGAAGTTCACTTCTCCAATGTACCCCGTGTGCTATGGAAAACGATTATTCAAGAGTACTTGATATTGATTAGCCATGAAGACATCGTCTGATTAGAATATAAACATAGTATGTTGCTGAACACTCTCAATGTCTTACCAATGGATTCTGTGCATTACGCAAACATGCCGTTTAGCGTATTGTCGTCGGTAGTTTGAAAGAAACATTGCTCAAACATCGCATAGATACAGGTTTTTTGTTAGATTCAATGCGGATACCTCATTTGTATCATTCTTTCTCATTCAAAATGCAGTTGACGTACCTGTAGTTTTTCATTGATATAACTTCGACCAATTTTTGTACATTTTATTTTTGTTATTGCTGACTTTCAACTTTGCGCCTTGTCAAGAATCAATAATCAAGTTTAATGTGTTATAGTCATTGCTACAAACTATTCCTTCTATCTAGCAAGGTACTAAAATCAGCTGCATTTCCTGAAACTTTAGGATTCGGGAAATTGCATGGATGAATGAGGCCCAATGACTCAGTTTTCAGAGACTGAATCAGCCACCCACTACCCACACATCGGCACACACAAACAAATTTTTACAGTTGTTCAAGGACTAAAGTCAATCTGTTTCTTCTCGCCCTCTTTCCTCAGCTTAACAGCGTAATTGCACGTTTTGATCCTAATCTGGAAAAGTTCGCAATCCGTATTCGTCATCATCAACACAAGCCCCATCAGCCGCAAGTATCATCACTACAACCCTCTGATGCGACCCCACCCATCAACCGAGCTGGATCACTTGTCACCTCCCCAATCCGGTCAACACATCAATCACCACAGAATCGGGTGACAACAAACCCGGCTTGGGATCTGACACCCATTCCATACCAGTACTCGCATCAACCAGGCACAATTGGAGAGTGCATTTGCAAACTTCATCCACCAGGTAGAATATGGACCGGATCGGATACCGCTCGACCGATAGTACAATTCACAATGATCTCCGGTGCTCACGATCAGATAGCGATTGATTTAGTCGACAAACGAGGCTGGCTGTGTCCGAGCAATCGCTTGATTGGTCGTGGACTGCTTCAACTGACCTCGGCGATCGAACGATTCAAAGCAACCAATCCCGTTGAATTGGAACTCACGTGTCCGCTTCAAACGGTAAGTTCACCATGGTTTAATGAATAGATCCAGAACTGACCACAACAATTTCCAAATTAATTAGATCAGGAACTGATTAATTATAAGAGACAACAAAGATGAAGGTTTTCTTTAAATATTTAGTCTTCAAATTTTCCACCTGGAGGTTCGGATAGCGCTAATTAGTTAATGATATACCGTAAAGTTAAACCAGGAAACCCAGAGAAACTCATGGTAAATATTTTACCAGATAAACTGTAATTATTGAAAAATTGTTTAAATATGTTAAGATCAAGAGGTTCAAAGTATAACCGAAATGGTAAAATCGATTGAATGCATGGGATAGCAGTGAAATACAAGATAATCTTCAAAAAATTAATTGAACTTTTGCGAAAACTAGCATCCACCACACGCTTTAATACCATGAAGTGCTTCTGGGATATTCTACAAGGGAAAATGCTGTTCGAAGGGAAAGGGACTTTAATTTTTAACTGTAATATTTGCTAACGACCCCAGTGGTATGATTATGTTATGGCGATTGCTAATTTATCATGATGAAATGATTGTTTGGCATTCATGGGCAACTGATTTATAATAATGTTCAACTTTTGTACGTACATAAATACGTACATGTTCCCCGGTCTATTGACAATTCGTTAAATTGTAAACTGTCATCGAACTGTCTCATCCCGCACTCTGAGCTTTCTATGAACAGAGTGTTAAGCAACAATTGTATGATATCACCACCATCACCCCGAACTTGTCCATATCCTCGAGGTTGAACAACAAATAAAAAAGTAATGGAATACTTTATCAATGGAGTCCAAACAAACAGCACATAAGTGTTTCGATGGACTTTTATCAGAGGCACCCTGGCAACCATACTAGGCATTCTTTTTTACTTTATCTCCACAACAGTGTTCATGATAAATGTTTATTCTATAGAATGATGTACCGTGCTAGGTCTCAGGCCCGGCTTCGTGGCATTTGGTCGAAAAATTCTCATCTTTTTTAATTACTACACATCTGAGTTCTTGAAGACATTCGCAGAGATATTTATTCTACTCAGATTGACGGCTTCGACTTCAATGTAATTCAGTTTGTATTTCAAGAGAACCTAATAATCGGATTTCGTTGTAAGTAATGTGTTTTTATGACAAAGTATAGCGCTACTGAGCTACTGAACTGGATAACCTAAAGGCTAAATAACCTATCACGCGATCAAGCCTGACACATGTTTTTTAATCTGCATAGAATTTGTTTGTACGTAGTCCGTAGTATGTGTTTATCAGTGAATATGGATTGCATATGTGTCAACAGCTCACTTTACCTTATCTCACAGATCAGTTAAGTGATACAAATTGTCTAACGCTTTTAAGTAAATGCTTAACATTTTTCACCAAATATGAGAAAAACCACGGATTGTCTACCGTAGTTTGACATGATAAGAAGAAAAACCATGAGTTAAAATAACGATATAATTTGAAAACTGAAATGAATGAAAATTTTTCATTGACGTATTATCATTCCACGAATCTGACCAAGTTATTTAATGAAATATATACCTGCCTCACCAACTGCCACCTTAAAAGCCTGTAAGTCACCTATCAGTGAAAACGAACTTATTTTATTCAAGATAAACCTTCTACGGGATTTGGGCAAATATTGGATCGGTATTGAACTGCTCAATGGTAAACAATGAGGTTTCTAAGAGAGTGCAAGTTCTATCGATTTAAAACATATGAGACTGCAAGAACGCTAATCTCAGCAGGAATTTAGCACTACTAATAAATCGGTTTAATTCAATGACATTGTTACATGTAGCTCCGTAAATTTGCTCTCGCTGATTGCGTCCCGACCAGATACGGATGAGTTAGAAACACGTGTTACATAATGGTGTATTGTTTTTCGATCCACATTCCGAAAAACGTTCCCCGCACAGAATATTGTTCTAAACATTGTATAGTATTTAAATAGATCTGGTGAAATAAAATAGAAAAGTTGGTTATCTATAGATGCTTCGGGCGTTCCTCTCGGATACAAGCTTCATTTGACACCAATTCATAGAAATGAGAATGTTGTTTTTATGGTTCCTATTGCTGCTGTTGTTGTTTTGTTTGTTTTTTGTTCCTGCCGGGTTTTTTTTGTTGTTGTTGTTGTTGTTGTTGTGGCGATTACTCGTTTAATTGCATTAGCATAGCCATTGATATATACATACCTTTAGATATTTATGGTCCTATTGATCAAGATGAATCTATTCTTTATGCACAGACAACTGGAGAACAATTCAGACAGTGCGCATCTGTTTCATTCTCATGTGGAAATATTAGCAGTTCATCTTCATGGAATCCGCAGGGGGGTTGGACCCCATAGTGTAGACTATAAAAAGGGGCATTTGATTCGGGAGCGGGTGTGGGAATCAGATACCATTTTGAAGCTTCAGTTGCAAACACTGGTCGGTATTAGATACAGAACGTGTGATGAAATTGTGATAATCATCAAAATGCTGGCGAACAATTAAGTTATCAAAATCGTCAGGGGGAATGATACTAAGTTTGGACAAAAATTTAACGGATCTGGAAAACATTGAAATTTTTCTTATTCTCAAACCTGGAACAGTATCAACGAAGAAACACAGCAGATGATGAACGATGGAAACGATAATAAAGTTAAGTTAAACCGATGAGGACACCAGATTTTCGAAGTTCATGACTTTAAAATAAAACTACGCGCTTCAATGAGACCGATATTGCATTCGTGAATCACGAAAAGTTATGGAATAAAGCAACACCCATACGTTTCGCGTTTATGGGTTTTTCTACTAGTAGACGGCGAAAACGGTTTGTGAAAAACAGACCGGCATGGAAAACCGGAATGAGCTGCAAAAAGGGTATCAATGTATTTTAATTCATGTACCCAAAGGGAGCTGAATGCAGACCACACTAAGAGACTGGTTATACGAAGGAAAAGACGGTGTATGGACACTTCACAACAACATCATTCGCGTATTTGCTATAATTAAAATTATTAAAAATTGGAAAAGATCCTTATTGTATTGAGAAAAACGAGAGGAGACAGGTTAATTCAGTGAGACTCCCAGAATCAATTCAAACAGAAGAAGAAAGTTTAAAGATGCAAGACTTAGATTATGATCGGATTATAAGAATTAGAACAAAATGCCCAAGCCATTCAACTGGAGGTGATCATCATGAAGGAATTGCAGTAGAATTCCCTGACGAATGGAACCAGAAGCATTTGTAAACTCAAGAAAAATTCGTCTCACACGTCAGGGTACTTTTCTGCATGCAAAAACGGGGTGTGCGGCATGGTCAATACCATCAGGTATAAAAACAGGTTTGCAAGAAAACCATTTGACTGAGGCTAATCACGCATTCAATGTGCTTGAGGCTTTTCATCCTCTCTATGCGGTCACCGGTAGGTTATCCAAAGAGGTCAAGTTCACAATTTCGTCAACAGCTGAGGTGATTGCCATCCGTCTCCACAACCCCCCTCCCCCCTTCGTGCGCCCAGAAACAGTTTGTAAGAACACTGGTCTTACCATGGCCACCCACTAACAACCTGGTGTCGTGACCTCCATTCATGAACTCTCACCCATCCACCTACCCATCCATTCACAACCAATCTCTGCCTTCTACTTTCTATGCATACACACAGACATAGACACTCACAAATATCAACTATCAGAAGTCCATCAGGTCCATTTTAAATTCTGAAACTGAAAAGCCTCAAGAGAACCTTTATGAAGGTTTTTTTCGCAGCAGTATCTTATCAAAGATCTTAGTGAATGAAGAACCACAGACAACGTGGCAAGAAATACTAAAAAACGGCTTTGGAACAAAGTATATATCAACCAGATCTCAACAATAGGATCCTTTTGACCGAAAGCCCTGAACAATTAATTGCTCACGGTGAATTTTTAGCCTCTGTGATACCATGGAATGTCGTTGAGTTCCGTGTGTTTCAACTTTTTTCCAACGTTTCAGTTCATGATCATAGAGAAACACAAAATTTTAACTTAGGCTATTTTCTCATCTATATTTCGGATTGTGATTTATTATCCCGCCTTCTTAAATGCCCAAATCGATCTGTTTAAATCAAACATATTTTCATTTTACTTTTCCGTTTCAAGTCAGCCAACTAAAAGTTCCCGTAGACAACATCGAATGAGACCATTTTAAGTGTTGGAGCTGAGCACAATCCTTTCCTTCCGCTGAATTGTTCAAATTCACGGGCGCTCATTCTCGTATGATAAATTTCATTGGTACTCGATCACGTGGGCAGATTTTAAAGTAATAATTGTTTGCTTTGAGGTCTTCTAGTAATCAATTTTTCTACCAGAACTGAACAACCTGAAAAACTTTGGAGTGTTTGCGGTGATCTAAAAAAAATCACAAGGCGTTCCTTGAATTTGACAATTCTGAAAATTTCTACACAGCAACTGTGTCGGTAAATAGGCCTACATTGGAGGCAAGTGGTGGTTCTAACTGTTTTCTCCACAATACGTATGACAAGAGAATGCAAAAGTCCTAAATCATAAAACATTATACAACATCCGGATATGATAACGTATGTGCTAAACGTTTACAATCACCGGTAGGGAAACATTTGTGTCCTACTGTGTAGTCTTCTTAGTTTATCACTGTGGACGTTCGAACAAAAGACTGATGTATCGTACACGTGCTCTCTTATGAACCAAATAACCCGTCGTTTATCAAAAACACCCTAAAAATTAGAAACTCTATACTGCAACAAAAATAATAATGGGAGATTTCCTTGAATAAAACGTTGTCACAAACATTATACCTTGGGTGCAATAACATGCACAGTACATGATTGCGGAAAATGCTTGGGAAAAATGATTTAAAGCTGGTCGATTGCCCGAACACAAAGAATACCGTGATTTCAAGTTGTAACCACGCTTTAAGTTCAGTTCAAACATTAAAAATTAAAGTCAAGTTCGACTCACTGTTTTTGGGAGCAATCAGTGGAACCTTTTTACCGGCCCGGTATTCGAACTTAAGACCGTCTTCGAGGGGAATCTCCAATTGGAATTTTTTCAATATCATATCTCAATCTCACAGTAACTATAGTTATCCGATTTCCTGATAGTCCATCTCAGTGGCCTATTTACTACTTTACCCGTGAACTTTTCGTCCATAATGAATTCAAGTTGATTCTAAACTTTCATTTAGGGAAAAACAAATTCTGCTGTAAACTTGACTGACCAACGAAAACATAAAGCAGAACTAGTATTCGTTTACTGTTTATGGAAAAATGAATTACTGTGTTCTACTGTTGGTATCTATTCACAGAGGCTGTCAACAATTTCTACCAAACAAAATTCATGCTTTGAATCATTCTGTCAAATGGGGGTTCCAGCTGCCTATTTGGTGCAAAGATCGTCCTTATAAACCGTACCCGAAATTCCAGGTTCCTTTTTATCTTCACCGGTAGGAAGTCTTATCGACTGAGTCGGGTAAACATCTTTACGTGGTCTCAGCTGATGTGTCCCCTTGGAACGGCAAAGAAATATACACGGATTTTCTCTTAACCTTTGTGTTTTGCAAAGAGATATCCGTGCACTGAATCACCTGGTTGACTAAACGCTCCGCATACCCGTTACGTGCAAAGATAGATTTTAATAGTACGGAGCTCTTCTTCTAGCGTGTCCTCACTGCAGGTCTTTCTTGATCTATCCGCTAGGCAAAGAACCAAGTCTCTGCAACGCTTGTATGTTAAACTTCCCGAACTGCTGTTGGGATGTCAAGCCTAATATGTTGCCGTTCATCCAAATATTCGTCGTTCTGGTTAAGCTATACAGGTAGGGCACAGAATTACTTTTGTTTTTCAGTAGCCAAATCCCTTTTGAAATCACCTAAGCCATGTGGGCGTTCACCCGGTCATTTTTAGTCATCTCAGCCAACCATTCTAATCCAGCAATACAATTAAAAACGCCACATCTGTTATCACCGACGGACATCCGAAGGAGTAATTGAAAGTTTGTAAGATGTGAACAAAACATGTGACATTTCCACCTGTAGTTTCAAGTTTTCGGCACAACGGTCTGATAATTTACTGCAATCCGAAAAAAAGTGAGGCACCGTCTTGGTTTCTGAAGACATGTGCATCAATCATTCTTGTTTTGTTATCTTCCTACGAACTTCGCTCGTTTTCCTTGGTCTTGTAATTCCACTCATACAGGTTAATAGTCCATTTTAATGGCATCTTCTAATTGGTGTACGTCTAAGCTGCACATTATCATCATCATCGAACTGCGAAGTACAGTGAGGCGAACTTGACTGATCGCTACCAAACTCACAATGCATGCAAGGTTGGTGGTAATATGTAACGTGGACAGGGAGTGGATCTATTTTGAGGGAGGGGGAAGAAGGTGGGCCTCTATGGTCAATACAGTGCACAGTCGAACTATGCATACATACCGTTTCAAGCATTCAGACCTGATAAGAAATGACAACAAGAACGCCACTGCTGTCGGTTTGCTGCCATATCCTTCAATGTCTTCGACTAACAAGCTGCGGAGTCTGTCTGACCCCAACCTAGAAGGCGTGAGTCCCTTGTTCTACCTAATGTCCCTGTGTATCTCTTCATGCCTTGTCTCCTCGTCATCTGTTGACCTCCACGTGGTTTCCTGCATCCCGGATTAGCTACAGTGAATAAAGCGCGCTGCGGCAGACGACAGCTGGACATACGCAATACGTGCCCCAGCCAGCGAAGTCTGCTATTCTGAATTTGATTTGCTAGCAGGTTTATCCGTGACAAACTCCCAAACACACGGTGGCTTACCTGCAGATTACTAACCCGTTCGCTCCATCCCACGGGGGCTAAACTACATGAACGCTGATGATTGAAGTCTTCTATACGATGGATATTTTCTACTAGCATATTCAAGGCCTCACAACTATAAAGCAAGACTGAACGAATGCTAGCACAATAGACACGACCTTTCAACTTCATTGAAACGTCGCGTCTGTCAAAGGTGTTTTAGTCCTGCGTATGCTACTCAAGCCTTGGAAATGCGAGCGGTTTTCTTTTACTGCGCAACCGTCACTGGTCACCCAACTATCTAATTACGAAAAGTAATCCATCAAAACGTAGGTATTGAATGGGCAGGTGGGGGAAAACTGTGTTTAGCTTGGTTACGAGAAGTCTGCGAACTACATTTCCAGCTCGGAGCACTCGCCAACACCAATAACTGCGCTATTTGGAGTACACCGATGACATCGTCTGTCTGTTCGAAGGCACAGAGTATAATGGATTTACTGCGGGTTTGGTGCTTGAGCATAGATCTCCTATGGCTATTGGGAATTTGTACGCAATGTTAACGAACCAAAAGGAGCACAAAAACGCGTGAAAATGTATTTCTCTTTCCGGTAATTTAGGCATAATTTATATCAATTACAAACGAAATCGACATTGAAGTCAGCGTGAAAGATAATTCACTATTCGGTCCGGAGTTAGCGAAATTTCCGCTCTAAGATCTCCACCTCACCCGCGACCCCACTGAGAAAATATCAAAGACAAGCATGACCTGAATCTATTACTCGTCTTTCTTAGTAAAAGGACTTCATGCTAGCAGTTTATGGTCCCCAAAATCTAACCACAAACGAAGCTCACTGTTCGTACTGTTTGATGTCATTACTATTACCTCAATTATTACTTTTATCAGGACTCTTGTAGAGAAGAGGATGGAAGTCACATATCGCAGAAGAACAACCCAAAAGGATCAGCACGAAACGGGTCAACAAGTAAGCTCGACAAACTATTTTTACCCTATTCTTTTTCTCATTTATTCCAGGGTTTCTTGAAAATTGTAAAGTTATTTCATGCAGTTTGGTGAGATCATTAGTTACGATTTGCATTGGGCTATGAAGAGGTGAATGCGGAACGTTTCCGAAGTCAAAAATATCGGGTGAGGTCCAACTTAGAGTAACGGAGATTCACTTCGTCTTTCCTCAAGAGTCATCAACGGTGCGTGTCGGTTTAACGTTCCTGACGGACACAAACCTCAAACATTCTGATTTTTAGCCTCAAGCCTCTCGCAATTATTCTGCCATTTTACTCCAAATGTTTGATGTTTAGAGCAATAAAAATGAATATGTTCTTTGTTTTAATTTCACGTACCTTCAACAGAAATGAACAGAGCATGTGAATTGCTACAAATTCACACAATAAAAAAGTTTAAAGTAGCAGAACTTGTTCATAAACTTTCAAAGTTTCTTGAAAAGTGGTACTTATTATCGTTTATTGTTCTTTTTTTCTATTGACAAATACAGAGATCAATAATTTGCAAATGCATACAATAACTCTACTAATATTCCGCCATATAAATAACGATTACCTTTCCACTGATTTTTGGCGTTTTGTTTATCTGCTTATCAAACTGACCAGTGTGCACACTCATTCATTCGCGTCAAGTTTGGGACAGCACGATAATACGTTTTCCATTGATCCTCAAACGGTCACGTGTGCGAAAGAAGCCGCCAGAAAAAAGTAATCACATAAATTTTCCGGCTGACTGAAATGTGACTATCTTCAGGCATTCATTTTAATTCAATTTGTTTCAAAATTTACTTTTTCAATAGCCGCACCATAAACAGATTGAATGCTGACTACAGGTTAATTTGCAATATATACTCTGAAGGTATCAATGAGCTATCAAATTCTATTATGCCCATTTACATTCGCTGATTCTGGATACTATTTGGGAAGGTTTAGAAATTGAGTTGCATTGATGGCACAAACTCCGAGGTAAAGCTGCTATCTTGAATGATACCTTAAGTAAAGAATAGTTTAATTCGGTGTTTTCAATAATACGACCATTACTAACAAGTTGACTAAAATTCGATTCAGTTTCTGGTCATATATGCGGGGATATGTGTTGGATAGTTACACCACTTCAGTGAATACAGCGCTTTTGCACTACGACCTGTCCAAAAAGAAACTATCGATGGTCTGAAACGTTCTTGCGGACCTCGTTGTAGAGAAAATAAGGTTCAGATCAGACCACTTCTAACGGTTTATAAACGCATCGGTTTAGCAAGATATATGTACCAAATTTTTCACTGAACAAAACATCGAACTGATCAGCAAATCTGATCATTCAGTTCGTCAGAAATGTAATCTATTACTCAAAGGTACGAACCAACAGTACGAACCGTTTCGGTTATATGAATTATGATAAACCTCCAGAGGTTTGTATCACTGGAAATGTTAGATATTAAGCTCATCATTTACGTACTAAAACGATCGAATTTCTAATCAATCTACTCCAGAGGCAATACTGTTTCGTTCTAATTTTTTACTTATCAGAAGAAGGTAGCGTCAAAACCTATTCCGTCCACCGGATTTATTTCTCACCTTGCTATCCTTCATTACAGGTTTCGGAGATAAGATTCGACCAATCAAAGAGAGGTATACAAAAGATGTTTGAAATCTGTAGATTTTCGTCTCTGTTAAAGTTAATATTACTTTGGAAATCCTGTATATATATGTCAAGGATACCTCACAACACTGTCTTCATAAATTCAAACAATTCACTTGGTTCAACTGGCCCTGATCATACATACAAACCGCTGATCTTGTTGCTGTCTGACTAAGTTAACAGTAGTGGTAAATTCTACGCTAATGAACAAGAAAAATGCGAAAATGAATTCATTCGGGTGATTTGTGCGCGGCAACTATTCGAAAATTATCCGGATAAATGGAATAGGTTGTGCCACCAAATCAGAAAACAATCAATATGACTTCGAAAAAGCCCGATGATATCCTGGTTTGATGAAATACCTTCTCCGCAAATGTGCATCAAACTACCCAAAACCGTTAAGGTCTCCTCCAACCCCTTCTGCATTGCTTGTATTGCCATTCTGAATGATAAAAAATGACACCTTTTCACTAGTTTTTTCTGATTCTTAAGAGTTCTCTGTGGATTTCATGCATTTTACTACACCTGGTTGAGCCCCCTGATAAAATTTCCTATTCGATATGCATGAGATGAGAAAAACGGGAGCATTTTTCCCCAATCATAACTCCGATCAGTCGTTGTTGTGAAACATTTCTGCTCTGCCCCGCACTGTTCGACATAACTTGGTTTATCAGTAAGGATTGAGGCGCACATTTTGACTTAACCATTTGCCTGCTCTAAAATGTTATCAATCATGCCCGGCTTCACAGATGCGTGGCCTCGAGTAGCACTTGTCAGGAATCGGACGTAGTTGAAAATTTATCATTGATCACGTTATATTCGGGCCACCTAGCCCTGACAGCATTTCCGATTAAAACAATGACCGAGAAATCGGGTCTTTATTTGCGCGCTCAATTTTATTGATCCTTAATATTTTGGAATGGAACAATGAGGCATTCACTGACTATAGCTCGGTAACAGTTACCAAATGACCGTCAGCTTTCCAACAAGCAAGGCGGAAAGAGTGATTACAACCCCGCGTAGTGAGCATCACCGAACTGATAAACGGGTTGTTCATCAGGCCCAATTTGTGCCTGTGGAATTTTCATGAAAACGTCCTTGGCATGGGACTTGTTGCTCTCGGTCCCATGATGAATGTTTCAGTTTCTCCGAAGCATTATCAATCAGACTCAACAATGGCTAATTATTCTGTGTGCAGACATTGAAGTTTTGTTTTTCTGCACGTGTTGATTGAAACTTTGCTGTTGTAACTGAGCAACAAATGACGGTAGTTAGAGCGAATTGACGAGTGGTTCTGATTGACTATTCGATCAAAATCGCTTTTTCCCCCAAGTTGCTATCACAATTTCGTTGACCTCAAGGTGTTTTGTTTTTATTTGCAATAAGTAATCGATCGTTTTCTTCCCATTTTATCTGGTCGAAATAAATCTACAGGAAAAAAGTATAATTCTGACGAGATCAAACCGAGCGTGTCTCTACTCCTGAGTATCGCCCCACCCATAAGACACGCAATACATCTCAAGGTCAGAGTTGGGCCAGCATTTGTGTGTCGTTTGCCCCCACCTTGTATGCAACGCAAAAGTCCGGGCTATCGCATATGGGGCCCGGTCGCCTGTAGCCCGTGTCTCATTCCATGCAAACTTCCCCACATGGAACATGAGGTCACAACTCAGGCGTTGGCTATTCACACTTCAACTGACTATCCAAATGGTTTGGTTCTGACCCGACTTGATGAGTCCCGAT